ATAAAAAGTCTGCTGGATCATCGCCTCAGTCATGTCGTTGTTAGGGCACTCCTTCACCATTGTTCTATATCGTTCCCAGATCTCATGCAATGGTTCCGTTGGCATTTGCTTGAAAGCTAAAATTTCATCCCGAAGAGCCGCCATATGACTTGGAGAAAAGAACTTGGCAATAAATTTGTCCGCCAATTCATCCCATGTGGTGATAGAATGATTTGGTAACCTTTCTAACCAGTCCAACGCTTTACCCCGAAGAGAAAACGGGAAAAGCCTCAATCTCAACGCATCCTCTGACACGTTTGTTTGTTTGCTGCCCCAGCAAGTATCTACGAACCCCTTCAAGTGCTTGTATGCATTTTGGTCGGAGGCGCCCGTAAAATATCCCTTTTGCTCGAGCAAGGTCAACATGACATTTGTGATTTGAAAGTTCCATGCCCGGATTCGGGGAGGAACGATGGCACTCGCGTACCCTTGATTAGGAAGAACTCTTGGGACTGCTCTTGGCGGTGGCGGAGGAGGGTCTGGAATAGGATTGTTGTCATTTGCGTTGGCCGGACAGCCTCTACGTGGAACTTGAGGTGGTATAACCTCTTCGGGCTCAGCATCCTCTACCTCCTCCCCCGCGTTCACGTTGCCAAGAGGGCCGTTTGCATTAAGAGCCATAGTACCTGAATGATTGACACAAATAGAATTAGTAAACAAGAAGGAAAGAGAAGCAAAACACAAAACTAACTAAGCCGATAGTCAACACCGTAAGCTCCCCGACAACGGCGCCAAACAGTTGATTGCGGCCGTATCAACACTACACAATGGCAGGAAGAGTGGGTAGCAATAACTAATACCCGAATAGTGGATCGGGGTCGAAAATTTCCACAGGGAGCTTGGAATGGAGTTGTATTGCTTGTTTTGTTTAGAATTGCGTTTGTACTTCTAATTGCACTCCTAACATTTTTTGGGGGTTTTTATATTAAAACTACTATTGTAATCTAAGGATTAAAGCTAAATAATGCTAAGGAAATATTGCTAAGTTGTGCTTAATATAGGGAAAAGGCACTAGGGTTGTGACGCTACCTAGGTGGCTAGCTAGCGGGTAGAAGCTACTAAGGGGAGATTGATAAATCCGGGTTTAGTGCTATAGCCGTTGCACAATTGCACTCATTCTCACACCTCTCGGTAGAGAGAACGATTTTGCCCAATTGACTCTCTCGAGACCAATTAGGTAGGCCAATTAGACCGGGCAACTAGGGCTCAAGTAGGGTAGTTACACTTTCGAGGTTTAACCCGTTAATTGGGACTACCATTCTCATGGGTCCATCCCAATTCCTTGTTGGGTTAACTTTTAGGGTCATATGACTCTCTCTCTCTCTCTCTCAAGAAGAGTTAGACCCACTAAGCTTGAATTCATGTTTGCAACCACAAATTCTAGATTGAAACACAAAATCAACCCAAATAACAAATACCCAATCTCAATCTCACCCTAGAATGCAACACCCATTAACTACCCACACTAGGGTTGAGCCACAACCCTAGCTAATGGGTTTAGCTAGACATAATTAAAGAAGAAACAGTAGAAATAGATGATGAAATGAACATAATAATTGATTACTACTTAAAATCTATAATATTCAAGAGTAAAAATGCCAAAATAGGCTACAAAACACTTCTCACAAGCGCAGCTCTTGTTCAGCAGCTAAAATATGACCTAAAAATGTTAAAAAGATCTATTTATACCGAGCTAGAAAATCTGGACAAAAATGCCCCTGCGGGGTAGGCGCGGACCGCTCAAAAAGGGAGTGCGACCGCGTTGGCTCTTGGACTCTTGAACTCTGTTCTCTGAAGTTGGGACTGCGGACAGCGCAGAAATGTAGCACGGCCGCATTTGAGGACAGGCGCGGACCGCGTATAAATGGAGCGCGGCCGCGTGGCAGTACTTTGGCCAAAACACCATCTCTCTGAATCTCATCCACGCGGACCGCGTAAAAAGGAGAGCGGACCGCGCAGGATGCCCTTGAAGAACCAGTCTCTGAATCTCCTAGCGCGGCCGCGTGGCAAAACAGTGCGGTCCGCGCTAGGTCTTCTTGTTCCCCACTTCGATTGGTCTTTGACACTTGGCAGGTTTCACTCCGTTTTGAGCCGATCTTTGACATTTGTCATCTTGTCGCTCAAACCTGCAATCAAGCGCAACTTGTTAGCATTTTGGGACTATTTTGTGGCAATTCATAACAAAAGCAATAGCAAGTAGGGGTATAATCATGTTAAAATCCTAACTTATCAGCGTCCCCAGGCCTTGGCGTCTCCTTCTATCCTTTCATTATGTTTCTTTTATATATTTCAGAGACAGCGTTGTATTTATCTTTCGGACCCTTATTTGAGTATTCCTAGACAGTTTGTGAAATTGTGACACCAGTTCTTGATAGTCTATGTTTAAGGATTTGTATCGGTAAAGTTTAAATGGTTATATTTTGTTCTTCCGCTTATTAAATTCCGCTGTTTATATAATGTTGGATCTTAATTGTTAAAAGATTAAAATGGGAAAAAGGGATAAATAATACAAATGGTTGGCTTGCCTAGCTATCACTAGTAGGCGCCATCACGACTCCCGAGGGCAAAAAATCCGGGTCGTGACACCCTCGCATCAGAATATTATTTAAAATTTTGTCTAAAACTCCTTGCATAACTTCTCATACAGACTTTTATTTCATCAAGGAGATACTTGAAGGGCATGATAAGACATGTTATGAGATGTTTAGGATAAAAAAATATTTATTGACTTATGCAAAATAATAAATGAATAATATAATTGAAAGCAACAAGAAAAATGAGCATGGAGGAGATGATTTTATTGGTCGTAGGAGATGGTGTAGGGAATCGAATGATTCAAGGATTATTCCAACACTCTTGAGAGACTGCTAGTAGACATTTTCATCATGTTTTGATAGCATATTTGAAATTGTCTATGGATATTATTAAGCCAAAAGATCTAACCTTTTCTGACATTCACTCTAAAATAAGAGAAGATGACAAGTATTGACCATATTTTAAAAATTGCATTGGAGCTATAGATGGCATGCATGTACCTTGAATTGGTCGCTCTAAGGAACAAATCAAATACATTAGTAGAAAAGGCTTCACTTTCACAAAACATAATGGATGTATGTAATTGGGACATGTGCTTCACATTTGTATGGCCTGGGTGGGAATTTACTGCACATAATGCTAGAATATTTGATCAAGCACTTAAAAGGCAAAACCTTAACTTTTCCCATCCTCCATTAGATATGCAACAATAATACTATGTCTTATGTTATTTTAATATCTCGGTTTATTTTTACTATCTTAATTAACTCATGTTTACTTGGTGTAGGTAAATATTATTTAGTTAAGTCAGGCAATCCAACAATGATGGGTTATTTAGGACCATATAAAGGTGAGCTATATCATCTCCCAGATTTCAAGCGTAACTCTAGTTTTAGAAATCCAAATGAGGCTTTCAATTTTTTTTCACTACAGTTTGAAAGAACATTTGGAGTCTGAAAAAATAGGTTTCTATTGTACACTCAATATCATCTTTCAAGTTTGACACTCAAATTCATCTTTGTTACAACTACCATGGCTATATATAATTTCATCTAACGACATTCTTCTACTGATAAGAAAATCAACTATTATGCTAATGGAGACATTGTTGCAGAGATTGAGGAAGGAGGTTGGCCTTCTGGTATTCCTTTAGAAATGCAAGACAAGTCTTCTACTATTATGGAGGCGTTGCATGATAGAATTAGAGATAAAATTATTAAGAAATGCTATCATGTGTGAGTGCCTTTGCTTATTATTTCATAGTTGATTATCAATATATAATAATTTATGGAATAGACTACTAATTTATACTGAATGATGTATTTTGATTAATCAAATCATCATGTAAATATATAAGTAATTATACAAGACAATATTATTGCTTTCGTATAACTATATATATTACATTGATTTAAATCTTTAATATGTATGTTTACTTTATATTTTATATTTTAATTAAACTAAATAAAAAATAATAAAAGTCTCTTACAACAAATATTTAAATTTATTTTTCTCTTTAAACTAATTATAAGCCTTTGGTACTATCCTTTTTGATCATTTTACACTCAAAAGCACTTTTTAGAAAGATTGGCCAAACATAATTTGTTTATCAAATATTGCAAAAGGCATCAATTGGCCAAACACAAACTTTTTTTTTTCGAAAGTACCTTTGAAAAAAGCACTTTGAAAAAAATATTTTTCAAAATAATCAATTTTTGACAGCTTGATCAAACGGGCTCTAAATGTCTTCAAGACAGCATAATATTCTACCAGTTTATGTGATAAAACTCCACTTTTCTCAAACATATAAAAAAGAAAGTAAAATCTAGTTGATTTTTTGGGCTTCTCAGTTAAATTTGAGTATGTTTAATGAGAAGGGAATGAAAGATGTCTTCTTCTACTACATACATAGTAAAAGCCTCAAGTAACCTCCATCTGAATTAACCACCAGGTGAAGGCTTTAGAAGGCATTGGATATTAGCAGAAGTGCAATGTTAATAAAGCCAAAGCCAAATTTGTAATGGGATATAAGACAATTTTCCCCATCTACACTAAGATAGCTCATGGATGCGAAAGAGTTCCAAAATATGATCCCAATCCACAACACCCGACTTCGACAATTTCCTTTTATGCATTGCTTTTTTCATAGACAGAGAAATTGAAACTGAAGAGAGTTTCATCTGAGAAAGCCTTTGGATCAAAATAACTAGCGTGAATAACAACTTAACAATAATCATCAAGGTTTCCTGGTCATTTGAAAGAGCCATTGAATGTTGGGGATAGGAAGAAGAGGAAACATGTTTTCAACCAAAGCTCGAGTTCTTGCCTCGCCCTAGAAACAAGACATCTGTTCTGTGAAACATAAAATCAAGTTGATGCTCTTCATACCCTAAATAGCAGCATCTGGTGCAGGTGTAGCAGAGCAGTTAACATAGAATCTCAAATTTAACACATTCAAAGAAATATTACTACAAGAATATGACCAAAGAAAGATCATAATACTATCCTTGTGCCGTATTGGCTATACACAGATCATAAGCACATGCTCGGTGCCTAGGAAATTCTTATTAGCCATGAATAATCAAATACTGTTAGACCTCTAGCAACTCATAAGAGACAGTTTCAACAGAGGATAATAAATAGATATATGTTACATTTTCTCCATACCATTGAAAACACTTATACGCTGTTACCACAAGTTATTCCATCAATCATATATTCTGGTACCTAAGTATTCATTTCTAGGATATTGGGTGAAATGATGCTTCGAGTGACTACTACGAGTCTTAGATTCTGACATCATAGATTTTGTTTGGTGGTTTTTCGGTCTTTTAGACTTTGATTGGTGTTTTCTGTCACCTTTTATGAGATAATGCAAACATTGGCCCTAAGATCCATATACTCTTCAAGTAATGTGAGTTCCTAGTTTGAGAGTATGTGAATCATCCCTTCTTGAAGCACTTGTTCTTTCATCTCCTAATGAAGCATTGATGTCAATCTATTGATCACAGTGCCAAGCAATTTTGATCACTTAGTAGGACTTCATACTATTCCTTCTCATGGACTTCAGACTGTCAGACATTCTCTTCATCTGCAAAGGTACATGAACATTGATTTCATAGAACACATAATTTAAGTCAATTATCTCCACAGCTAGGAAACAGTAAAATTAAGAGACCTACCTTTTAATAGCTCTGCTGAAACCCAAGCAATCAGCAAGAGATGGCACAACGCATAGGTGATAGAACAAATGTGCACATGAGTTCAAAAATTTCTTGCCGGCTCATTGTGCAGCAAATTAGGCTATGGTGCATAGCATGCTTAACATTTGCATTAATGGAAATGCAAACACTCCCAATAACAAACCTTCAGTAATGGTGGCTTCCATAGCAACAAATATTAAGCCCGTCAGTTTTACCACTATGGACTATTACTGGTCTGCTCTTTTACTACACTAGGATACTATAAGTCTTTGGTTAATACTGAAGCAATAAATAGAAAAAATGGAAACAAGTTGCAGCTTGTCCATCAGTGATCTCTTGAAATTTTAAGTGGGAAGGACAAATAATGGAGATGGAATAGTCTGGTGAAGAAGGCTAACTAATTAGAAGTTAGCTAGTGCGGAAATGAGGGCTAGACGTGCATGCTAGACATGGTGGTATCCATCTATCTCCAACTCCTGTAATCACCCGGACTTATATTAGTAACTCCACAATCAATTTGTTCCTCAGAATCCCCTACTCACCATTCTTATAGCTAGCATAGATGACATATTTGCTACAGCCAAAACATGGAAATTAGATTGTTTTGTATCTTTTAAAGAAGAATCTACAATTTGTCTATCCTTTTCCACCTAACAAGCTGGAGAACCACAATGAATATGTAAGCAGATTGCTGGCTCAGTTTCAGCAGCATTACCAGCATGCTGCTTTTACAGCTACTCTTTGTGACCTACAGACAACTATCTGTAACCACAAAAGCTCTATACCCAGGTGCAATAGATGATGTTTCAATTAAAATATAAGAAATACTAACTTTTAAGCATTGAGGTGACCGAAAAATAAGATATCTGAAGGGAAGAAGAAAGTGAGACAAACAAAAACAGGGAAAAGGGAAGAAAATTAAACTTTTTAAACTCCCACCAATAAGAGTAGCCTCCCATCAGCACACTCCTTTACTAAGGCATATTTCAGGCTCATAGCAAAACAGGGAAAAGGGAAGGAAATTAGTATGTTTTATACCAGGATTTAAAGTTTGCAGTTGTGTAAATACACACACATACTACTCTAAACATGTCATACACAAGCAGAGAGAACTTACATAGAATCCTAGTGTAGAGTAGTTACATGACGGAATCCCAAAATAGAATTCTACAGTGATCCATGACAGAATTCACATAAGTAATGTCTTTGGCACAAGAAGACTCAATGGAACTTCAAAACAATCTTCCAACACATCTCCAAACTCAATCTCTACTAGCCAAGCATCAAATTCTTGCTAAAAATGTTCTCTTAGACAGGTAACATACAGCTCAAGAAACCCCCCTTCCTTTCCCCAAATAAAAAAAAACATATTTTTAACAAGGAAAATGTAAGATAAGCTCAATAAATTTGCACAAATATTTTTCCTTTTCTTTAGTGGTCAACAGATATGGATATTATACAACAAAAAAAAAAAAAAAAAAAACAGAAAACCAAACAGGGCAAGAAGGCAACTATTTTACAAAATAATTAGATTAGCTTATGAGGGTCAATCCGAATGTGAAGAAGAAGAAGAATCATAGTAATATTGAGGAGCTGCAACAGGAGGGGAAGCACCAACAAGATCCTCCTCATCATAAAATGATGAAGATGAAGAAGACGCAGAAGAATTGTAAGAGTAACGGCGATAGTAATAAGGGTCAGGTGGGACACAAAGGAAAGTCCAAACACAAAGAGCTAACCGACCCAATTGTTGAAGAGGGAAGCAGATGACCAGATCCAATAGCTGCTCGCTCTCAATTGGGTCTGGCAGACATGATAAGAATTGCCAAACTTCTGCTGATGTTTTCGCCACTGACACTAATAATACGCCGTTGAATGGCATTTTCTCCGATATCCAAAAACAATGAATTTGAATGTCAGAATTTTTTTTTCCTTTCCTTTTTGGGTTTCTAATCTTCCATGTCTGTTCTTCTTTGCATCATTTTGTCGAACAGTTGGAATGTTGACCGGCTTTGAATAATTGTTAACTGCTTATTGGCTTAACCCTCACAGGGGAGTAGTTAATATTATTGCACATTCACATTTAGGGAAGATTTCTTCTTTGATACTTTGCCATCGTGATGGACTTTCATTTGTCTTGTACTCCCTCCATCGCAATCAATGCCATTCTTCTTAATTTTAAGAGTTAAGTTTCTTAATTCTAATCTCGATTTTTTAGGTTTTATAAAATAAATTTATATATTTAAAACTATATAAAACTATTATAAGCCATAATAATTAATAATTTAAAATATTTAAAAGACATGCAAAAATCGCGTTCAAATAAAAATTTATTTGATTTCAATTTTGAATTGCATTATATTAATTATCATTTGAATTGTGTTCAATTGAATTTACGAAAAGATTACAAGTTCATACTTAGGGTGTGTTTGGTATGAAGGAAAAAGTTTTTAATGGAAAATGATTGATTTTATCACTTATTTCCCCTTGTTTGGTTGGTGAGTGGAAAACTTTTTTCGAAAAATATTTTCGTGTTTGGTTAGAGAGTAGAAAATATTTTTTTTTAGAAAAATTTATTTTTTATGATACTCTCCCCACTAGGGGTGTTCATAAAAACCCGAAAAACCGAACCAAACCGACAAAAAAAACCGATACTTTTTAGGTTTGGTTTGGTTTTGGTTTTGAATTTTAAAAACCGATCAAAATTGGTTTGATTTTGGTTTTAATCAAAAAATAACTCAAAAAAAAAACCGAACCAAACCGACTATAAAAGTAGCTATTTAAATTTATTATTACACCTATATGTATGTATATTTTTATATAAAATTTCTAAAATTTTATGGTACATTTTAGTCATTTATATTTTTAGTCTAGTTCTTTGCTATTATAATCATCTAATTCTTTGCCTTTACATTCTAGTTTGCTTGGTAGTTTTCTTTTACTAAGTACAAGAATTTATTTCGTGTTAAAAATAACCGATTTTTAATTGAGTACTTAAATTATTCATCACTATTTGATTCAAATATCATCAATATATCTTGGTAAATGATAGATTTCTCAATGACCAATTGATTTGATAGTGTTACGTTGAAAATGTAGTCCCCGGAATATGCGTTTGGTAGTGTATGTATCATATTTAAGAAAAAAACCGATAAATAACCGAAAAACCGAAAAAAATCGACAAAAACCGAATCGATAAGAAACCGACTTAATTGGTTTGGTTTGGTTCTAATATTTGAAAACCGACTTACTTGGTTTGGTTTCTTTTTAGGGAAAAAACGACCCAAACCGAACCATGAACACTCCTACTCCCCACCCCTCCCCCTCCCCGCTCCCACCCTTCACCCAAATCTCTAAAAATTCACACAAACTCAAAGGAACTAATGTGCTACTTTACTTTTCTACGAAAAAATAACGTTGAAATTTGTGCTCAGTAACTAAAAAGAAAATACTCTTCTTTTGGTCGAAAAAGAAAGTACTCTTGCTACAACATAAAAATAAAGTATTTATTTTATTGAAATAAAAAAAATAATTTTTCTACATCATGAAAAGAAAATACTCATTCTGTTGAAATGAAAAAAAATACTTTTTTATATCATAAAAAGAAAATAATTTTTTTGTTGAAATAAAAAAATACTTTTTCCACATGAAAAGAAAGTATTTTTTTTAAAATAAAAAAAAATACTTTTTTATATCATGAAAAAAAATACTCATTTGTTGAAATGAAAAATCTATCTATAACATGAAAAGAAAGTACTATTAATAATATTTTTATTTTAGTAGGGTGGGGTGGGGTGGGGTGGGGTGTGGGGGTGGGGAATAGGGTAGGGAAGATTGAGAAGGAGTTTTGAAAAATATTTTCCCTTCTCTTAATAAGGAAAATATTTTTCTCCAATTAGAGGAAAATGAGTTCATGAGGAAAATATTTTCCAAAACATTTAGGCCAACCAAACATGGAAAAATTGGAAAACATTTTTCGGAAAATATTTTCCTTCATACCAAGCACACCCTTAGAAGTGGAAACATCTGATAACCACAACAACTTTTTTATTTTGTTTTCCCCGCACAAAACACATCCCACATCATGTCTACGGAGCTTCTAAGTAAACAAGAGAGTAATATGAAATTTATCGGTGACAAGGCTCCGGTATACCTCAAAATACAATATACAAGAATCAAAATGGCACAAGCCCCCGATATGAAGTAGGGCTCACTAAATCAGCTGAGAAGAGGGTATGCTGCTACCAATTATCAATGTAGCCTGCTGAGGAACCACTTGCATCCATTAGAGATTTCGCGCTCCCGGTAAAAGGGTCATTAGTACATATGGAATAGTACTAATATGTAAAGCTAAATACCCTCTCATGGAACGGAATACCAACATAAAAAGGAGAAAAATGTGGAAGCAGTAAAAAAAATTAATAATAATTAAATGCCAAGTTAAAACATAATTAACTTTCAAGCAAGCATTAATATTTTAGGCCGGGAGATCCTTAGTACCGACACACCACCATGCACATGGCATGGAGTCTGCTCTCCGTAAGATCGGCTAAGCCGTCTCACCCCAATGTATGACGGTTGACATAGAAATACGAATTCGGCACCATCTGTGCGATATGGCGTCCGGTCTCCGTCCGATCGACTAGGTCGTCTCACCATAATGTCGTGTGGGTCAAAATGGTCTTTGCTAGCTATCAACTCATCCCAATCAAGGGGAATAATATCAACATAATATAACGGGGATTCATCCCTAAATTGACTCTTATATCGGCACATGTAGTTTCGGGCTTGGGCATTTATAACCTAGCCTTCCTCGGTGACCTAACGATACTCCCAAAAATACTTTGTATAATAAAAGAATAATATGTTCATCTCATAACTTTCATAAAATCTTTCATTTCATGGCCACTCTTGGCCATACTTGCTAATCTTCATTCTTGGCACGACGCCGCATTTCATATTTCATACTTTCATTTCTTTTCTTGCCATGGGTTATCATAAAGCATTTAAAGACAGTTAATAACATTGAAAAAATTATAGCTTCGACTCACAAGTACATAGGAGCTCAAAACACATTGAAAATAATTACAAATAGAGACCATAGTGATTTCAATGGAATCATGGATTGAGTTCATAAATGGTTGGTAAATCAATCATACTTAAAATATTTCCTAAGAGAGACCATAGTGTGATGAGAGCAATTATAACATGACTTGGGTAGATAAGCATTTGATACATCAATCATTTGTGGCACTTTGATACAATAAGGATAGGAACTGAAATCTATAGAAACATAGTCAAATTGAACCATAATTATGAAGGTGCTCATAGGTTTAGTCCTTTTAGGCATTTCATCAAACATCAAATATGCGAAATCAACTACATGGTTCTATAGAAATTTTTCACCCCACAATCAATTTCAAACAACAACATACACATTGTAGTTCAACAACCTCCATATCACCTTTATCGGCACATGCATGCCCAACGATTCACCCCCAACTCAAGAACCACTTCCCACATTCTTCTCATACACCCTAAATTCAAAATGTAAGGGCTTATGACTTTCAATCATCATCCCATCAGCCCCATCATGAAAATCATGCTCATAAATTCATTATAGAACATTGCATGAGAGCTAGGGATAAAGTCTTACCTCTTTAGTAGACGACCTTGTGAGTTTTTCCTCTTGAATTCCCAATACTTGATTAAGAACTTGAAGCGTATAAGTGTTAGAGATCCTCCCCTCTCTCTCTAAAGTGCTATCTATCTAAAATAATCTAATTTCCCTCTAAAAATAACTCCTTAAGTCCTTATAATAAAATAGAGTCGGGTTAGAAAATTTCTAAAAATGACCCTTTGAGTAAAATTCGCAATAGCGGAATGCATCGCAGAGAGGTTGTGTGGTCCACGAACTGGACCGCGAAATGGTCTCCAAAATTTGGGTTAGGTCTGATAAGATTCGTGACGGATCCGCGGCTGCAAAATGATTCTGCAGTCGTATACTGGACCGCGAAATCTCCTTCCAAAAATTTCCATGCTAGTTATGCGATGTATACACGGTCCGTGAAGCAAACCTGTTGTCGCACATTGGACCACGAAATGACCCTCAATATTAAGTTGCTCATGATCCCATCCGCGATGGTTCTGCGGTTAGCAAAACCGATCCGCAGTTGCGAAATGGACCGCATAAATGCCATTTTGTGCAAATTTCTTTCTACTAATCCCATGATGCATTGCAAGTCCAAAAATCCGTACCGCGAAAATTATCTACAATCTTTCAAACATATTAGTTGTAAAGACCTGATCGGTCATTTTGTGTAGTTGCGCCCTGTTACCCTTTTTATTGCTGCACACATGTGTGTTCATGATTTTATGACTTGGGGGTCGGTTAGTTTCGTTCCATGGAGCTTTTGGGTTGATTTGGATCCTTGATTCTTGACTTAGAAGTTTAAATTAGAAAATGTTGACCAAACTTTGACTTTTGTGAAAACAACCCAGTAACTGTGTTTTTATGGATCCGATAGCTTCGTATCGTGATTTCAGTCTTAGGCTTATGCCCGAAATTTGATTTCGGAAGTCCGTAGGTTGATTTGTGTTGATTTGCCGAAACTTGACAATTTGAAGTTGAAAAGTTTGACTGTAGGTTGACTTTTAGCCATCAAGCTCGAAATTTAATTTTTGGACTTGGAATAAGTCCGTTATGGTATTTAGAACTTGTCTGCAAAATTTGGTGTCGTTTGGAGTTGATTTGATAGGATTCGGCCGTTTAGTTGTAATTTTGGAAATTTTTGAACTTTACTTTGAAATTAATACGTTTTATGTTCGATTCGTAGTTTTAAATGTTATTTTTGTGTTTTGATCACGCGAGTGAGTTGTATTATATTTTTAGACTTGCATGAATGTTTGGTTCAAATCCCCGAGGGCTCATATGAGTTCCGGACATGTATTGGAATGGTTTTGAACTTAAAATGAACTACTGGTGTGCTGGTGCCCAGCTTCGCAATTGCGAAGGTGAAAGGTAGGGGGTCAGATGTCGCAAATGCGACTTCCCCTTCACATTTGCGAAGGCAGCAGGATTTTAGCTTGGTTCGCAATTGCGAACAAAAGTTCGCTTTTGCAATGACGGGCAGTTCGCAATTGCGAAGCCTTTTCTCGCAATTGCGAGGATGCATGAGGTTGTCAGGGTTCGCAAATGCAAACCCTGGTCCGCAATTGCGAGGGTTCGCAAATGCGAATCTTGTATCGCAAATGCAATATCTGCAGCTGGTTAAAGGGCTGGGAGACGGAATTTTTGAACACATTCTCTCATTTTTGAACCTTAGACACGGTATAAGGCGATTTGGAGAGGGGATTTTCACCTACAAACTTTGGGTAAGTGATTCTAATCTATTTCTAATCATATTCCATCAACATATCTTATATTCTAACATCAAAATCATGTGAATCAAAGTGAAAATTTGTGAAACTTTGTCAAGTTTTTGAAAAATAAGAAATTGAGTTTTGAGAGTCGAATTGGACTCGAATTTTGAGACTAATCACATATATGAACGCGTGAGGTAATGGGTAGTCGGAATCTACCATTGGACCCGGATTTTGAACAGACGAGCTCCGATTTGACTTTTATTGACTTCTGAGAAAAGTGTAAAGATCTTAACTTTATCTATTGCAATTGATTTCCCTAGCATTGTTTGATGATATTAAGTCGATTTGGTTAGATTTGAACCGTGTGGAGGCGAATTTTAGAGGGGAAGCTATTTTCGAGTGTTGAATTAGCCTAGTTGAGGTAAGTGTCTTTCCTAACTTTGTGGGGGGGGGGGACTACCCCTTAGAATTGGTATTGATTGATTTATTTGTGTTATGTGAAAGCCGTGTATGCAAGGTGACGAGTGGGTACACGGGTTGTACGTGGTATTTGACCGGTTTAGGCTACTTAGACTATTTTCATGCTTTAATTTAATTGCCATATCATGTTCTAAATTCTCATAGTCAATCTGTTCTTACTTGTGTTATTCCATCCTTACATGCCATAAATAATTTCGTTAACACTTGTTCTACATTCTAAGTGATAAATTGCTCTCATGCTTGAGTTGAACCTGTTACCTCTATTATTGTTACATGTTACCTCTTTCATTGTTGATTATCATTATTTAAAGTTATTGTTTGTGTTATCTCTTTCATTATTGATTATCATACTTAAAGTTATTGTTCATGATATCTCTTTCCTTTCTGATTTTCATTATTTGAAGTTATTGTTACACGTTATCTCTTTCATTGCGAGTTATTCTTATTTAATGTCGTAGTTATACATTATCTCTCATTGTTGAGTTATTGGGGTTGAAGTTTTGAAGGCCGTTATCACGTTGAGACAAAATTGTTGTTGTTGAAACATCTTCCTTGTTGAGCATTTTACATTCATTGTTGTTGTTGATATTTGTGTACCCGTTATGGTGAAACCATGGGCTATTATTGTGGAAATATTGATATTGCTGATTGTTGGCAAGTTGTGATATATGGGCGCACATGCAGCAGTATAAGGCTTGGGGTTAATGCGCATGGGGCAGTATAAGGTGAGACTTATGTGTGTGTTACTTGTAGTGGAACTACGTGAAGCCACACGGTGTCATAAGGTGGGTAAAGTGTGTGTAGTTATTTCAGAAAAATTGTTTTCAAATTCAATTTCAAATGTAAGGCTCACGCGGCGTTATGAGTAAAGATCGTGATTGAAATTGAGAAATGTGCATACGAGGCGGTACCTCGGTGGTGATTCTTATTGTACACGAGGCGGTACCTCGTTGTGTTTCTTGTACAAGTAGTTTGGCAGGAACATTTATTGTTGTTCGTTCTTCCTTGCTTGCAGTTGTTGTCCGCATATGATCATTTTGGTTCTCTTTAGCTGCTTCTTTTATTTTACTTCCATGTCTAATTTTCAGTATCAATTCATGCTATTTTCTTGTTTCGTATCAATTATTTCTCCATTTTTTATTATTATTCGTTCTTATGGTTTTATTCTGTTTATTTATATTCTAGTAGGTGTCTTGACTTGGCCTCGTCACAACTCTACAGAGGTTAGGCTTATAAACTCATATAAGGTTTGGAGTCTTCAAGGTATACTTGCTCCATGTCTGCAGGCCTCGGAGTCACCTTCCCTTATTCTTATTTACTGTTGTATTTTCTTTCAGACGGTGTTGTACTTGACACTTTAGCTTACTCTGTAAAGCTTATGGATCTGTTCCGCCGTTCTTGGGGAGTGTATGGTTGAATTCTATTTTTCGAAAGTTTATATGAGTTTATCAAACTGGTTTTTAGTAATTTGTTAATTATATTTGTTCAGTTGTTATCAAATATTAGGCTTACTTAGTCATAGAGACTAGGTATCATTACGACATCCTACGGAGAAAACTTGAGGTCGTGACATTGGCTTACCTCAGCACCATAAAAGCTTAAATCCTCGGCGAACTTTACGGCTTTACACAATGGAAAAAGCAACCAAACATAGTATTAGTTATGCTGATTTTTTTATAAAGTAACTAAAGGCTACCAAACATGGTATTAGTTATATTACTCCAAATACATGAATAACTTACCTTGTAACCAGCTATCAAACGACCACTTACATGTTGTATTGTATTGTTACTTTAAATACAATATTTGTTTTGATTGTTACTCAAATTTTATTGTATCATATCGTTAAATTTGTTGTTACGTAACGACGAAAAGTGTCACTTTATAAAACTACCGATTTGGTGTGGTCGTGTTGTTCCCTTATTTTTCTCTCTCATCTTGTCCTTCCATATTATTAAATAATCCTATTTCATCCTTTACCCTGCCTTTTTATATAATAATTCTACCTCGTAACTTAGTTTTCCTTTATAATATTACAAGTTTCTTTTTCATATTGTTGGTGCATGATATCATGAAACGACGGAAAACAATACAATCTATCCAAATATTGTATACATCAAAACAATTCAGTACAATATAATATAATACTATACGATACATTATGAAACGATATATAACAACCATCTAAACAAGTTGTTAGTGTATTAAGTTGTTATACTTTTCCCCCATTTCCCCCTCTCATTTTGTGTAAAAAATCGAACTCCACCTTCAACTTTACGATATACATTCTCTCCAACTTCAACTTTAGACAATTACATTCTCTTCTTCTTATCTCAAGTGCACTTTTAAATGCCTATATTAATCTATAGATGAATAACCGTTATCTTCTTTTATTTTATTTTTCAAAGAAATATCATGACATTTTTCATATTTATTTTAATCAGTGTTGTGGACTTGCATATAAAACAAATCAAACTCTTCTTCTGAAGGTAAAAAGAAAGTGAAAAAATAATAATGAAAAGTATAGAGTTAATAACGTTGAATAAAGAAAGAAAGGGCATAACAACAAATTTCAAGATAAAATAGCTTTCTATTAGTAATTTCATAAATAACAGTTAAAATGAAGAAAAAAATTATATACACATCTGATAATAAAAGCGAGTGAGAACTTTTTATATTATATATTCAATGCACATAATGCAAAAATTAATTATTAAACTATAGAAAGATCTTATAATACATTCTTAAGAGGATTCTCCTTTTATACTTATAACAAATTTTAAATTATTATTCATAAAACTTCATCAGTGACAACGAAAACTCAAAATCTATGTATAACACAACTAAGATATAAGAAAGATTGCAACTTAGATATATTTTTGGTGTACACAATATTGTAATTACATTTACAGAAGAAAAAAAAAATGCAGGTATACTTTATAACGTATTCTACCATTCTTGAAAGACTACTCTACTTATACATTCTACGAACTTAAACTTAAATTATAGGGAAATACCTACGTTTAAAAGATAAAGAATCATACATAATACAAAAACATATTACATAGAAGGGAGATAAAAACGTCTAGCAAAATAAATACGCATGACATAAAGCAAAAAAATGTATCCAGTACAAAGTTTGAAGGAGCTTGAATCTAAAGGAATGTTGGAAGGGAAAATTTTTTTCCTTTTTTATTTTTCTAAAACGCCAAATATTTTAAACAAATACATTTCCCCAATAAAATTATTCTCTCTGTCCAATTTATATAGCAATGACTAGATACAAAATTTTAAAAAGTAATCAAAACTTTTGAAATTTGTGACCTAAAACAAATCATAATATATATAT